TGAAAAGGAGGAAACAGGGACAGGGACCACCACCCGAGATGAACAGGCTGCAGCTACGAGCCTGATATTCCTCCACGCCTCCATCCAGGCCTTTCGCCGCCCCCTGTCTTTCTCAAGACCCCGAATTTTCCCAACCTCACCAAGGATGCCACTCACCACCACATGGACCGAAAGGACTTTCTGCCGAATGGAAACCTGACACCGTGCATTCCAGGTGTAATAACGGACTACTAAACTAACTAGAAAGAGTGTCCAAATCAAAACCCAGGCAGCTTTCAAATGCTCCATACACCCACTCCGCGTAAGACATGCGGTGTAGGAAAGGGACACCCAGAGCTCCACCCACCTCTTTGTACACCTCTACATTGAAAGGGCACTGAAGTAAGAAGTGGTCCATAGTTTCCACTTCCCCCTGACACTCCGTCCTCGGACAACCACGGTCATCCAGAGGACGGTACTTCAAGTTCCCTCTCACGTAAAGCCTGCCATGGAAAGCGAGCCAGGCCTGATCCCTAAATTTCAAGGGAATCCGTTCCAGATTAATCAACCATAAGCCTTCCCTCATAATATGGCCCGGGCAATCCATCAGGGCAAGCGGGCATGAAAGACGGTTGCCACAATCCTCTCACCCAGGAGCCTCCTAGGGAGGGATCTGACCTCCCCCACTGTCACATGCCACCGCCTGAGTAACTTCAGGCTCGGGGCTACATAAGCCGGGAGCTCACCATGCTTGACCCGCAGGCTTTTCCCTGGCCCGCCACTCTCCCAACGTCCAGAAAGGGTCTAAACCAAATCCAAAAAAGTCCCACCCACGCAGGCGGTCTCTCTGCCAGCATATTACCAAAATTATGTTTAATAAACATCAGAGAGAAAAAAACAATTGGGTTGACCATACCTAGGCCACCCTCCTGCCTGGATGAGTAGGTCACATCCCGCTTGACAAGGTTCAGCCGATTCCCCCCAACATCTGGAAGAAACAGCTGTAGACCCTCGTATAGAGTGATTCTGGCAAGAGGCAGACAAAGCTGACATACAGAAAAATGGGGATCAGGAAAGTCTTGATCATGTCAACCCTTTCCCTCAAGGAGTGCCGCCACCCATTCCAACATCTCACTTTACCCTCAGCATCAGACAGCCTAGCCTAGCCTCCCAATTTAACTTGCTGTACTCAGCAGGGCCGAAATTGATGCCTAAAAACTTTTATTTTCTGCTGGGGCACTGGGAAGGTGTCCGGAAGTGAAAAGCTCTCACCATCCCTACCCATCCAGAAAACTTCACATTTGTCCTGGTTGACCTTGGAGCCCGACGCTTTGGAATACTGATCCATCACTGCAACCACCTCCTGTGCCTCTTCGGTCCCAGAAATGAAAACAGAAACTTCATCGGCGTAGGCCACGACCTTCGGGGGGGGGGTCCCAGTAATACCCACCTGCACCCCACCCAACACCCCACCATCTAACCTCCTAAGGCGTCAATGGCGAAGGCGTAGAGCAAAGAGCTCAGCGGGCACCCCTGGCGCACCCCGGACCCAACCCCAAAAGGCCGCCCAATCCACCCATTCACCAACATGAAGCTCTCAGCCTCACTATACAACGTTTTAAGCCAGCCAATAAACCTCCCCTCTAGGCTGTATCGGTCTAGGAGATGGCAAAGGTGCTTGTGATCAACTCAATCAAAGGCCTTTGCCTGATCCACCACTAGCAGGAACTTTCCCCAGCCTTGAGCCTTACATCGCTCCAGAGCCTCCCGGACAGCTAACACCGCTGTAAAGGTGCTTCTGCCCTGGACCGAGCAATGCTGCTGGCAAGAAAGTAAGCCGCCCGCCACTGATGACAAGCGCCAGAACAAGATCTTAGCCACAATCTTTCTATCGACATTGAGAAGGCTAATGGGGCGCCACTTCTCAATAGCCGAAGGATCTTTACCCTTTGACAAGAGAATTACAGCAGACTGCCTCATGGAAGGAGGGAGCAACCCCTCATCCAGACAGCAATTGTAAACTTCTGCAAGGTGGGGTGCCAAGCTAGACTTAAAGGCTTTAAAAAATTCAGCTGTCAGACCGTCTGGCCCAGGAGTCTTTTTAATGGCCAAACTATCGATGGCTTTGGTCACCTCTTCTGCTGTAATTTCCCCCGTCAAACTTGCAGGCAGGACATTACCCTCCAGACCTGGTGTAGAGTCCAAAAAGCTCAGCATCCTTGTCCGGTCAAGGTGCTTCTCGCTCAGTAAAAATCCTCATAAAAGGACCTAGAGCCCTCCAGAATCCCTGACCTGGATCTTGTCAGGGACCCCGTACTATCCCTCAAGCCAGAGACCGTCTTAATCGCTGCACTCTGCTTACAATTCTGCGAAGGGTCAGGCGAGTGGTACTTCCCATAATCCCTCTCCAGAAGGAGAAGTAGAGAGAAGTATGAGTACTTCATGAGAAGTAGCTTGACCTCAGAGATTGCCCCAGAATCCCAACCGCTAGAAACAAGGCGGTCGAGCTTCCTCCGCAACCATTGGTAGGCAATGTACCTGTCAGGAATGGACTCAGCAGTGGTGGTGGGACTCACCTGCCGTGTGGGCTGCAGTACCAAGGCTGGCCAGCGGGTGCTCTCAGCAATCAGAAGCTCACTCCTGCAGTCAGCCATCACCTGAGGTGTATTTAAGGAATGGCCAGACCTGCAGTCAGTGCCTTGGTGTTGTTTTCCATGAGCCCCTGTACCTTGTATCCTGTGTTCCTGTTCCTCTGCCTATCTGATTTGTTGCCGACTCTGCATTGTTCCTGACCCTGCTGACCATCTCCTGTTTAACCCCTGGCTTGCCTGACCATCCTTCTGCCTGATCCTCTGTACCGTGCTGCCCGTGAGTTACTGAACCCGGCTTGTGACCCTGACCATTCTCTGCCTGATCCTCTGTACCTCGCTGCCCGTGAGTTACTGAACCCGGCTTGTGACCCTGACTATTCTCTGCCTGCTCCTTCGGTACCTCGCTGCCCACACGTTGCTGACCTGGCCTGCCTGACTACGCCTTACGCTACCCAAATGATCCATCCATCCTGCACGGATCCAGTCATCCCTGCTCACACCTTCTGCCTCTTCACATCGCATATACCTCTGGCGGATCCCTCACCCACGGGCAGGTGTACTCAGGGGCCGCGACCTGGTTCCTGTCTGCTCCAAGTCCATCCCCACCATCAGGGGCCCTGGTGAATAAGCAGACTGGGACTTAGACTCCGCGCCCTGGGGAATCCTGTCCTGGGGACTGCTAGGGGTACCACTAGACAGTCGTTAACAGAACCATATGTCCGGGCTGACCCTTCCACCTCTCCAGCCCTGACTGCGCCTGTGTTCCTGCACAAACTAATATTAGTGGAAGGTTGGTTTGTTTACTGTGCATTGTATATTTGGGTAGCTAGTAATAAATTATATTATTATATCATTCCTGAAGCCTGTTACTTCCCTGTGTCAGTCCACACATTTCTGGTCATACCGGGAGCCCTAACATTACACCAAGGCCATTCCTGACCAGAAGTGGCTGCACAGGGAAGCCATCTTGGCTTTGTTGTGAAGGATGCATCCGGAGGAGGTTATATACTTGTGTCTGCTAGTCTTTGATGACAAAGAATATGCCTATGAGACTCTGCAGGAGTATACCAGGGATCAGCTGCTAGAATGCATAGGGGTCACGCATTCCCTGGTAGATCAGGGCACAGAGTTCTCTGAGGTGCAACCATTAATTCAGGCTTGTGTGGAGTTGGCTTCAGCTAGTACCCCTGAAAGCAGGGATGACTTTTTCCCCCCATTCAGTGCAGATCAAGTGGAATCGCTGGTATGATTGTTGGAGGAGGATCCAGATTGCTTCCATGAGCATTATGCAGCTTGTCCATCACATGTGCTAGTGGAGCGTATAGACGCAGTGCAGTCTTTGGTCAGACAGGCTATGTGTAAGCGGAGTTGTGTTCAACCCATACACTACAGTCCTGGGCAGACTTGTTTTACATCCAGCCTCAGTCAGCTTGCAACAAGCCAGTCCTGCTTCTCATCATTCCTCTACTCAAAGCTCTCTTCCTGCACTCCCGACAGCACCCCCAATGACAGCCCAGTATACCCTGTTAGCTACCACATGTCAGTCCCCTGCTCCCACTCGCTGCACCTATCCTGCCTTTTACCTTGTAAAGAAGCCCTCTGTAGCAACTGCTCCCTCCTTTGTTCCATCCTCTGGCTCTTCCCTGTCTTCAGCTGCTCCATCCTTTTACAGACCTGCATTTACTTACAGTGCTCCAGTAACAAAAACCCAAGAAGAAGCGAAAATTCTTCCCAACCAGTACCATCCTACCAGTATCCAAACCGGTTCAGCCTGCTGTCTGAGGACCCACCTTCCATTGTTCAGCCTGATGCCCTGATGCCTGATGACCCGATCCGGCCTGATGACCCGATCTGGCCTGATGACCCGATCCAGCCTGATGACCCGGTGTTCGTGATCCGGCCTAATGGCCCGATCCGGCCTAATGGCCCGTTCCAGCCTGATGACCCGATCCAGCCTGATGACCCGGTGTTCGTAATCCAGCCTGATGACCCGATCCAGCCTGATGACCCATTGTTCGTGATCCAGCCTGATGGCCCGATCCAGCCTGATGAACTGACCCAGCCTGATGACCCAGTGTTCGTGATCCAGCCTGATTACCCAATGCAGCCTGATGACCCGGTCCGGCCTGGTGCCTCGGTGCCCATGGTCCGGCCTGGTGCCTCGGTGCCCGTGGCCTGGCCTGGTGCCTCGGTGCCCATGGTCCGGCCTGGTGCCTCGGTGCCCGCTGTCGAGCTTGGTGACCCAGTGCCCGCGGTGCTGCTAGATGGCTCGGTGCCCACTGTCGTGCCAGATGACTCGGTGCCCTCTGTCGTGCCAGATGACTCGGTGCCCGCTGTCGTGCCAGATGACTCGGTGCCCGCTGTCGTGCCAGATGACTCGGTGCCCGCTGTCGAGCTTGGTGACTCGGTGCCCGCTGTCGAGCTTGGTGACTCGGTGCCCGCTGTCGGGCCTGATGACTCGGTGCCCGCTGTCGTGCCAGATGACTTGGTGCCCGCTGTCGTGCCAGATGACTTGGTGCCCGCTGTCGTGCCAGATGACTCGGTGCCTGCTGTCGAGCTTGGTGACTCGGTGCCCGCTGTCGAGCTTGGTGACTCGGTGCTCGCTGTCGAACCAGGTGACTCAGTGCCCGCTGTCGAGCCAGATGACTCAGTGCCCGCTGTCGAGCCAGATGACTCAGTGCCCGCTGTCGTGCCAGATGACTCGGTGCCCGCTGCTCCGCCTGATGGCCCGGTGCCCCCCCCTCCGCCTGATGGCCCGGAGCCCCCTGCTCCGCCTGATGTGCCAGCCCCTGATGTCCAGCTAAACTGGCAAATAACTGATTCCCAGCCTGCTCCTGGAGATCCTGTGTCCAGCAACCTGCCTTCCTGGGTTCCCCTACATAAAGAGAAGTCTGCCAGCAGGAAACCCAGCCAGCCGGTTGACTCCGGCAGTAAGATATCCAGCCAGTTACCTGACCAGGGCGGTGGAACATTTTGCCCACTAAGGACTGTTTGGAGCATCCTGAGGCCGCTCCTTGAGGGGGGGGGGTACTGTCAGGAATGGACTCAGCAGTGGTGGTGGGACTCACCTGCTGTGTGGGCTGCAGTACCAGGGCTGACCAGCGGGTGCTCTCAGCAATCAGAAGCTCACTCCTGCAGTCAGCCATCACCTGAGGCTGATTGCGGGAGGTGTATTTAAAGAATGGCCAGACCTGCAGTCAGTGCCTTGGTGTTGTTTTCCATGAGCCCCTGTACCTTGTATCCTGTGTTCCTGTTCCTCTGCCTATCTGATTTGTTGCCGACTCTGCATTGTTCCTGACCCTGCTGACCGTCTCCTGTTTAACCCCTTGCTTGCCTGACCATCCTTCTGCCTGATCCTCTGTACCGTGCTGCCCGTGAGTTACTGAACCCGGCTTGTGACCCTGACCATTCTCTGCCTGATCCTCTGTACCTCGCTGCCCGTGAGTTACTGAACCCGGCTTGTGACCCTGACTATTCTCTGCCTGCTCCTTCGGTACCTCGCTGCCCGCACGTTGCTGACCTGGCCTGCCTGACTACGCCTTACGCTACCCAAACGATCCATCCATCCTGCACGGATCCAGCCATCCCTGCTCACACCTTCTGCCTCTTCACATCAGGCTTCCTACCTGCATATACCTCTGGCGGATCCCTCTACCACGGGCAGGTGTACTCAGGGGCCGCGACCTGGTTCCTGTCTGCTCCAAGTCCATCCCCACCATCAGGGGCCCTGGTGAATAAGCAGACTGGGACTTAGACTCCGCGCCCTGGGGAATCCTGTCCTGAGGACTGCTAGGGGTACCACCAGACGGTCGTTAACAGAACCATATGGCCGGCCTGACCCTTCCACCTCTCCAGCCCTGACTGCACCTGTGTTCCTGCACAAACTAAGATTAGTGGAAGGTTGGTTTGTTTACTGTGCGTTGTATATTTGGGTAGCTAATAATAAATTATATTATTATATCATTCCTGAAGCCTGTTACTTCCCTGTGTCAGTCAACACATTTCTGGTCATACCGGGAGCCCTAACAGTACCTATCAAGCGGTTTTCTTTTTCCTAGGGCCCTGAAAAACCTGCCTATCCGCACCTTAGTGAGCTCCCACTACTCCGACTTACTATTGCAGAAATCCAGCACGGTTTCCTGAGCCTGAAAGAATTCCTCAAAGGATCGTCTTACTTCCTTGTCCTCCAGCAGAGCCAAATTCATTCTCTAGATGCCCTTCCCTCTCAGTGGCGTATCTGAAACATTTAAAGTCACTGTAAGTAAAAGGTGATCAGAAAACTCCACCGCTCGACATTCAGGTACCGAGAAGGCAGAGAGTCCTCCTTCAAAAAAAAACCTATCTATTCTACTCTGACAACTGCCTCTCCTATACGTGAAACCAGTGCTGTCCGGGTTGCTCTTAACCAAGGCATCTCCAAAGACAACCTGCCGGGATGTAAAAAGAAAAGGCTTGATCCTTGTAAAGAGGCATTTCCTGTCCCATTTGGACTGTGGTCCATAAATGTTAATTAGGCGCAATTCCTGCCCCCTCACAAGGACATCCAGGATCAAACACCTTCCAATCTCCACCTCAATGAACCGCCGGCACGTTACCATGCCGGTAAAAAGAACCGCAACTCCGCTGTAAGGCTCAGCCGCAAGAGACCAGAAGGAAGGACCACACCTCCACTCCCTCTTAGCCAGATGGACATCGGCTAGACTGCACAACCTGGTCTCTTGCAAAAACAAAACATCAACATCAATCCTGCTGAGCAATAATAAGGCTGTATCTCTAGCACTTACAGATTTAATGCTGGCGACATTAATGGTCGCCACCTTTAACCATTAGCCGCCCGGCCAATGGCCGTTTGGCGGCTTCAGAAGTGTTTGCGCTAATGCAGAGCGGCGCAGCAGTGCGATCTGTCACCGGCCGTGCACCTCGGACACGGCCGATGACAGATCCGAGTACCGGCTCCCGTTGCTGGTACCATGTGACCTGCTGTGACCAATCACAGCAGGTCACATGACAGTTGTATACAATAGATGGCTTCATTCATGATGCCATCCATTGTATACTAGTGCCTAGCTGTGAATGGTCACAGCTAATCACATGCACATGTCATGTGATTAGCTGTGACCAAATTACAGCTAAGCACAAAAAAAAAAAAAAAAAAAAAAAAGCTGAATGAATCGATTTCATTCAGGTAAATGCTTGCTTATAGCAAAATAATTCTTTGCTATAAGCAAATTGTGTAAAAAAAAAAAAAAAAAAAAAAATACTGATCACCTCCCCAAAGTAGTATGGTAACATTGTACTACTTTGGTCATAGTAAAATATAAAAAAAAAAATCTTTAAAAAAAAAAAAAAATGTAATAAAAACAATTAAATATAATATAAAATAAGAAAAAAAAAATATATATATATATATTTTTTTTTTTCATACTGTCACCAGTCAGTGTCCCTGTTCACCACCATGCCAGTTATATGATGACGCTGTACTGCACTGGTGACAGTATGTAAAAAAAAAATAGTGAAAATAATGTTTTTAATTTTTTAATTTTCCAAAAAATTATGACAAAAAAATACAACTTCAAAAAACTTGCCATGCCTCTTATGAAGTACGTCGGACTGTCTACTCTGCAAAAAGGGGTCATTTGGGGATATCTGTACTATTCTGACATTCTTGGACCTCAAGAAATTAGATTGGCTGTCAGTACTTCAGGATTGATCAATTTTCAGATATATACCATAGTTTGTGAACTCTATAACTTTCCTACAAACTAAAAAATACATCCTAATTTGGATTTATTTTCACCAAAGACATGTAGCAGAATACATCTCGGCCTAAATTTATGAAGAACAATTATTTATTTGTAAACTTTTATAACAGAAACAAAGAAAAAATGTGTTTTTTTTTCAAAATTTTTGGTCTTTTTTTGTTAATTTAGCAAAAAATAAAAACCCCAGCGGTGATTAAATACCACCAAAAGAAAGCTCTAGTGTGTGAAGAAAATGATAAAATTTTAGTTTGGGTACAGTGTTGTATGACCGCGCAATTGTCATTCAAAGTGTGAGAGCGCTGAAACCTGAAAAATGGCCTGGGCAGGAAGGTGTAAAATTGCACGGTATTGAAACGGTTAATGGAGTGGGAACTGCCATTTGGGTCATTGGCGTTTCTTACTCTTTCCTTTTCCCTTCCCTTTCCCTGCAAAGGCCACCACTTCCTCAGGTGACTCCCTCCCACCTTCCTCCATCGAGGATAAGGAGCTTACTGACCCCCCTTCATCCTCTGACAGAGTCCCAAACCGATTGGAAGTAAAAAGCTCCCCCACATCTAGAGAAGATACGGATGAAGCTGGGGAAATAACAATCTAATTTTTCTTCCCCTTCCTTACCACCTTCGTCCACTCTGCCTCCTTCTCACCAGTACTACCACTGGGGTTCCCTACCCCCCCGGCTAGTACCTTCACCCTCTACCACTCTCTCCCCCGCCTTAACACGATTCTTCCGGCAATGCTGGGACAATAACACTGGAGGGGGAACCACACTAGGCCCAGGCAAACCTGCCTCTTTAAGCTTGGAGCCTGAAGAGATGGGCCCAGCAGGAGATTTAGGCACCACTGGAGCAGGGGACAAACTGACAGCTCCCATTCTGACAGGCTCAGATCCTACAGGAGCAACAGGGACAACAGGGACTGCAGAAGAAACACTTTCCTTAGACATGACAGGACCCAAGCTTTGTTCTGCACTACCAGCCTCTTCCGCCTCCATCCTCACCAACTCCTCCACCACCTCTGGCTGATTGTGCAAAGCCTCTGGGCACTGTAAGAATGGCCCAGCCGCAGGCACAGGTTGCACCTAATCTCGTTGCAATCCTTGGCAATATGGCCCACCTCTTGGCAAAGAGAACAACGCAGCACAGAGCATGAGGAGGCAAAGTGGGACTTGCTGCCACACCTGTGACACAATCTAGGCTGCCCAGCATAAAAAATCACTAGCCTGTCACGACCTATGAAGGCAGAGGAAGGAATGTGCTTGACCACATTATCTGCCACCCCCAGCCTCATAGTAACCGTCCACCCTCCTGTCCAAATCCCCCTATCATCATTAACCTTCCTAAGGGGTCCCAGGACTTCCCCATACCGTTGCAGCCAGATCATGATATCTGCTGCAGGGATGGATTCATTACGCACAAGGATGGTAATGTTTTTAACCAAAGGCTGCCTAGAAATTACCTTGGGGACAAGCCCCTCCCATCTCTCCGACCCCTTCCACCTGTAATCATACTTCTGCCAGAACACATCCAACATGTCACTCCTGACAAAGGAGACATCGTACTCCCCTGACCCTACAAGGGCAATGAGGGCAAATATATCACTAGCTTTAAAGCCCATCTCTAGCAGGTGATTCACCACCTCTCTCCTGCCAGGAGAAGGGCCCTGTCCATGCCACTTCAACTGGACCACATTCCTCCCTTTGACTGATGAAGGGGGGACCCCTGACCTTACCTCCCCAGGGTGAACCATCAGCAACTGAGCCCTCTTTAGGGCAGCATTATAACTTGGGTCCTCAATAACAGGGCCAGATGCAGGGGCACCAACAGCCGCCACATAACTCCTGACCCCAGATCCGGCAGGGGCCGCCTTATTGCTAGGAGTCCCAGCGTCAGGGTCCAACACAGGGCCACCTACAACTACTGTAATATCCTTCCCCCCAGACACCAGAACACTAGTGGCAGTTGCCCTGCCCATAACATCAGCAACAGAACCCAGTGCAGATGTGCTGGCAACATTTACTCCATCAGCCCCCCCAAGAACCGGGCCAGGCCCAGGGACCTTCGTGACAACCACAGCTCCCCCCGACTCAGCAGTAAGGGGGAAACTAAGGGAAACAGGCACAGATTTATCACATATATTTCCTGCTGAAACCACATTTACCCCCTTTTTTTTTTTTCAATTTAAATATTTATTAGTTTTC